AGAGAGAGAGAGAGAGGAGAGAGAGAGAGAGAACACCCATATACATAAAATAAAAATAAATCTAAAAATTGAAATTAGAACAAAGCTATCATGGAAGGGGGATTTCAACATTTTGTATTTCCTTTCAAGTTTTTGTCTTTTTAAAAATGCTGGCTGGGGCTAGGAAGATGACTCAGGGGTTAAGAACACTTGTTGCTTTTCCAGGGGACCAGAGTTTGGTTCTTCGCACCCATTTCAGCCAGCTCACAACCATCTATAACTCGGGCTCCAGGGAACCCACTACCTCTGGCTTCCAAAAGCACCTACACTCGCATATATAGACTTACATGCAGACATAAATACCTACACATGATTAAAAATAATACAAATAGATCATTAAAGAATACTGATGGAGACACCCTTTTACATCCCAGGCTGGCTTCAGACTCCAGTAGTGAAGGATCACCTTGAACTTCTGGTCCTCCTGCCTACATCTTCCAAGTATCACAATTACAGACATGGGCACCATGCCCGGTTTATACCATGCTGAGGATCAAACCAATGCAGGGCTTTATGTATCCCACACATAGATTCTACCATCTAGGCTACAACCCCAGCCCTTCTAGGCGACAGTCCATCAGCTCTTGCTCTGGGTTCTCTGACTGTCCTTCTGGCACATGGTTTGAGATAAAGTCTCTGACTCCGTAATGACCCAGCTTGCCCACTGAGTTGCCATGTTCCCAGCACGCTTGGCACATAGGAGACCCACACTACTGACACAGGAGTGGAGGAATCCGTGAAGGAATGAATGCATGACTATGGACCAGGGGAAGAGCAGAGGAGAGGAGAGAAGAGGCACTCCAGGTGCACTAGCCCAGAAGAGAACAAAGCCCTGACCCCAAAGGCCGAGAGGTGGTGCAGCGCAGGGAAAGAGCTCAGGCTTTGGGCCATCCACAGTGGTTTCCTCAGAGGCCCTGCTGAAGTGGTATGATGGTACAGAAAGCTGTATCCTATAAGGAGTTGCGGTTATTCCTGGGGTCAGGTCTGGACATGCCCCCACCCTGCACTGCCACCTGTTCCTGAACCCAAGAAGAGATGCCCTTCCGAGTCCCAGGACAGATGCTTCAGCAAGCGCCCTGCCGTAACCCCGGTCTTTTCTCTCTCATGGGTTTTCTCTGTTCAACTTTGATCTAGATGAATCTGTCAAGCTAGAAATCCTCGCTGTGGGTTGACAGGTCATGGCTGCCTCTGGCCTGGTGACAACCAGAGGCCCTGGCCAAGTCCTTCTAATGCCTGGCCCTCTGCTAAGGGGGTGGAGGGTCAGAAGTCAGGGCCTGACTGGCTGTGAGTGAGGGCGCCTGCCTCAGAGCCCTGGGCATGCCCACAGGGCCCTCTTGGCACAGCTCTTGCTCCCGAGAGAGAGAGAGAGGGGGGGGGGGTGAAGCCTTTGAGAACTTTTAATAACTGCAGTGGGCAGCTTCTCAATTCTTGGCCAGATCCCAACTCGGAGAAGAAGCCAGCTGTGTGGCTGGAGCTGAGCCCTGGAGTCCGCACTGGGTCAGGGATCACTTGGTTCTCTGCAGGGTGGGACTCGCTCAACTTGTGGGCGATAGTGAAGGCAAAGACAGCCCTTCTTCCTTTTTAACCCTCCTCTAGAACTTTTGTGTGAATTGAAAGGGGCTCCTGGGAACAAAAGGATTGATAGTAAACACAGGATCCTAGTAAATGGGAGGATTTTGTTTACTTATTTACTTTCAGAAGCATTTTGTTTTTGTGGTGCTGGACCCAAGGCTTTCTGCATATACTTGGCAAGTACTCTATCAAAGGCACATTGGGGACCCTTTTCTAAATTTTATTGAGTTATGGTCTCACTAAGTTACTCAGGCTGGCTTGAACTTGCTTGAACTTGCTTCAGCCTCCCCGACAGTGGGATTACAGGTATAAGGGACCAATGCCCAGCTTTTGCTGCATTTTGTTTTCTGACCCGAACATCTGGAACACCTGTCCCTTTCTGTGATGAGGCTCTTTGCCAGAGAGGAGGAGGCAGGAGCCAGATGGGCATTAGAGGACCATGAGTGCAGAGGCAGGGCAACCCCAGAAGCTGAGGCCAAGCCCAGAGGTTCCTTCATACCCAGAGTTTGCAAAGAGTGGGGCTGAGCCTAGCAGAGGTGCTGTGTACAGGGGTCTGTGCCTCATTTGGCTTACCTGCTGGTGTTTTAGACGGTCGATATTGAGCCTTCATTTGCATATGCCAGAGTTGAGAGGCCTGGTGTACTGTGAGTGGGTGGAAGGGTTTTTTTGTTTTCTTGGTCTGTTGCTTTGATAAAATACCCTGATAAAAACAACTTACGGGCATATTTTGGTTCCTGGTTCTGGGTTACAACCCATCATAGTGAGCAAGTCACAGTGGCAGGAACCTGAGGCAGCTGGTCACATTGCTTCTGCAGTCAAGAAGCAGAGTGGTGAATGTGTCGGCTCAGTCACCTTGTCCCCTCTTTATACAGTCGAGGAGCCCAGCTTAGGGAATGGCGCTGCCCACAAGGGGTACATCTTCCCACCTCATTTAACCAGATAGAGATACCTTCTCACAGCATGCCCAGGGGCCGTCCTCTGGGCTATTCTCATCAAGCTGACAGTTCAGATGAACCAGCACAAGACCTAGGCCTCCAAGGCGTTCCCACAGTTCCCAAGCCTCCTGGGGGCTGTCTGTTAATGTGTGAACTTTGTTAGGCTTTCGTGAGGCTGAAGGGGTGGGGGGTCCCAGCAGAACACCTAGGAAGTTGTTAATATTTAAATTCCTAAAAAACAGCACCGGAAACACACACACACACACACACACACACACACACACACACACACACACACGTGTCCAGTTCTCCCTAACGGGGACAGTGCAAAGCTTCAGACTGCATTTATGTCACAAGCTCTGAGATGATTCTGAACCTGCTGGCCAGTACCACACTGGGATGGCTGGTGTGAAGGGATGTGCGGTGGTGCATGGATCTTCTTGAGTACATGGTCCACGCCATCTGGTATTCTCTGGATGGCTAAGGCCTCCTCTCCTGAGCCCCCTCATAGGTTCCAGTGGTAAGTAAGTCCCATTCGCTCTTGAAGTGACCCCTTTCTGGTTATTTTTCAGGTTCATGCCTCCTGATGACCCCCTGGGCCGCCGTGGACCAACCCTGAGCAATTTCCTCAGCAAGAAGCCAAGGCCCCCAGAGCCATCCTGGCAGCACTGTCCCTATGGTGGGTAGCAGCCCAGTGTTGGGTGTTTTGTCTTGGAATTGGTAAAGATTGCATAGGGGTACAGTGGGAAGCCCTAGCCTGGAGAACAGCAACTTGGGTTCCTGCCCAAACAAGCTCTGTCCTCAACCAGTTACCTGCCCCTGGTGAGAAGCCTAGCGTTTCTGGATTGTAGCTTACCAACAACTCTAAGGATGAACTGATACCCATGAAGGCTGGATGTAGAGCCACAGCTGCTCTACAACTAGGGGGTGTGGGGGGGTGGGGAGGTGGCGGGTGCCACGGGGGTGACTGTGCATCCCCCAGCTCTCGTTCTCAGCCCTTCCCTGCATCCCTGGCATGTGTTTTCATCCTGTCCCCTCCACCTCCAGCCTCACAAACTTGGTCCATGCTATTTATCCAGAGTTAAGGGTTTCATCCTAGCTGTCTACCTAGCTCTTTTATTAACTTGCTTTGTTAAAGTTATTTTCATGCTCCTGGCTTTTGTGCTTAAAGAAGTTCATTAAGGCGCGGCTGACACTCGAAATCACTTCTTGTTAGAATTAACGTAACTATCCCTCCAAGCTGGCCCAGATTGTCGAGGTTCACCCTGTGAAGTGCTCGGGTTTTAAATGGTCAGTTATTTGGTCATTTGTTCACTCTGGTTAGAACAGGGGTAGACAGGAGGCAATGGTCAGTGCAGGGTTGGATGTGGCCATTAGTGAAAACAGGCGTTCCTGGAGGCATGATCTTGTCCCATCCTGAAGGCTACTGCGGGCTCCATCCTGAAGGTTAGCCTTTTCCATAGGGTCCCTGGGGCAGAGGAGGCTAAGGGTGACCAGACCCTTTTGGCTTCAGACTCTGCTTAAAGGAGTGCCTGGATGGAGACTTACTCTGCTGGCCTTGGGGGTTCTGGAGCTCTGAGCATGCTCTCCTATCCATCCTAGAACCCTTGCCACCAGAGTCACCTTCCAGACCTGTGGTCTTTTCACGGGGCAGAAGGCAGCGGAGTCAGCAGCCCGGGGAAGGGTATCGGTCTAGGTATTGGAAGCCTTTGCTTATCCCAGGTCTCATTCCGTGCCCTCTCCAACCTGCACCCCTTCTAGGCAAGAAATGCACCTATGGGGTCAAGTGCAGATTCTACCACCCAGAGAGGCCACACCACGCGCAGCTGCCGGTGGCCGACGAACTCCGAGCCAAGACGCGGGCCTGGCCGGGCGGTGGCGCCGAGGAGCAGCGGCCACTGAGTGTCCGGAGCAGCCCCCCATCAGCCAGGCCGCTTTACCGGGAGCCCAGCGCACACAGCCTCCCACCGCCAACGCAGCCCGCGACCCTGGCCGCCCTGAGCCGGAGCCTCTCGCGGCTGACCATCAGCGAAACCCGGGCTAGCGGCGTCGCGTCCCGGACGCGTGAACCCGACTGGATGCCCACGTCCTGGGCCTTGACAACTCCTCGCGCGGGCAGCGCTGCCACACCAAGGTCGCCGGGTCTGCGATGCCTCCGGACTCCGAACAACGTTCTCTCCTCTGGCGATCCTGGGACCCCAAACTGCCCTCAGGTCCAACCGCCGGACAGACACCTTTCCAGGGACATGCACAGTGACTTGCCTCCCCAGCGCAGACCTCTGGAAGATCCGTGGACCCTCTTGCCCAGCTCCTACCTTTATCTGGGTCACTCGGCCTGGGCCGACTCCGCTTGGGGCAAGGACACCTTTAGAGAACCTTCGGGGTCAGCGCAGCCAGCAGTCAATGGTGGGGGAGCACGCGCTGCTTTCTTTAATGTCTTCTCAGCTGATCAAGAGGACCGGGGGATGGCCTCGGACTCTGCCCTCTCCGATCTGGCTCTGCTCACCCTCCGGCAGAGACCCCAAAGACCTGATGAGCGGTTGGGTGACCCTTAAGGGACAGGTTCACAACACCGCAAGGAGCCTTGTCTTGCAACTTGAATAGGTGGGTTACAAGACGGTTGACAACCTGGATGTAAGTCACTGTTTTTGGACCCTGTCAGTAGGAGACTTCCTTCTCATCCTCTGTGCTGGATACCCATGGGGATCTTGGTGTTGCTCCCAGGGCCTGCTGAGTGGACAGGACGATTTCTGATGTGTTCAGAACACATCCGTGTCTGGCTCTAAGTGCCAACCACAAAATGTTTCAGTGGGCCATTACCACAAATCAAAAAGGACACCCAAATAATCGAGCTGAGTTTGATTCAAACTCTTGCTGTATAAGAGTGTGTGTGTCTATGTATGAGTGTGTGTGTGTGTGTGTGTGTTTGTGTGTTTAAGACTCTAGGAAGCCATGAGAATGTGGGTCATTGTTGAAAGTTTGAAAAAGACTGGTAGACAATCTTGACTTTCGTGGTATCAAACAATGTTTAAAAATGTATTCAGGTGATACGGGAAGGAAGGGGTTGATGCCCAGGGTTTTCATGTCTCCACTGCTAAGCTCACTCATAAGGGAACCCAGCCTTCTGTACATTTTTACTGTGTGGCTGTGAGGTATTGTGAGTGTCCCAACAGTCCTTGATTCTAAGGGTCTTCTTACCCGTCCTTTGTACCATTTGCACATGCAATACCACACACACACACACACACACACACACACACACACACACACACACACAGAGCCTTGCTCAAGAATCAGCCTCTTTCATTTGCTTGTTTTTCAAGATAGGGTTTCTCTGTTTAGCCCTGGTTGTCTTAGAACTCACTTTGTCTATCAGACCCACCTGCCTCTGCCTCTTGAGTGCTGGGATCAAAGTCATGTGTCACCACACCTGGCTTGTTTTTTTTTCTTTTAATCAGCCTTCCATTGTGGTGAATCTACAAAGCAAACTTGTAAATCACACATTACAGAATTAAGATTTCAGTCTACCTGCCACTCCAACTCTAGCTGGGGAGGCATAGAGTTGGGTTCTGGTAGAGGTTATCGTAACTTTTATTTGGCTCTGTCTTCTACACAACTTTGGCTCTGGGTTTGGGGGAGAAGAAACCCATTCATTTGTAGGGGACACGAGATGAGACAGCGATGCAGAGCGTGGGCCCAGCATTCTTAGGGATCCTGGCCTCTCTAGGCAGCACCTACATGTTCCGGTTACAAGGGTAGCTTGCCAGGTTGTCCCTCATGCTATTCCAGCTTGCCAGGGAGATTAGGAAGAGACTGCCAGTGGAATCTGTTTGCCAATGCTTTCAAGTCCCTGCAATGTGGTTGGTGCACTGGGGGAATCGCCACTCTTTAAAGAGGTAGCCTTGTGGTTGGGACAGCAAAGGTATGTCTCAGGGAGAATGCTGTTGCAGGATCTATGGTAAACGTGGCTCCTTGGTACCAGGGCAGCCATGTGGCTTCCTGCAAGTCCTCCCTCTATTAAAACCACATTCTTAGCATGGCTTCTTGTAGATCTGTTCCTCGCCCCTTTTCAATTCTGACACTGCTCTCAAGTGATATTTTTGGTTTTTAAAGCCCCTGTCCTGAAGAGGGTCTGCTCTTTCTAGGTCATCTAGACTTTTTTCTCCGTGCGTGTGTGTGTGTGTGTGTGTGTTTCCTTTCCACAAGACAGGCTCACCAGTGTTAGAGCCGCTGTTCGGTTCGGTTCCTGGGCCCTGTTTCCTGCTGCTTATCAATGCATTGCAAATTTACAGTTGGAAATATTTACCTGCTTCCTCTGAGGACAACTTCTGAGTTTTAGTAAGCTGTAAAGCTATTTTGTTTGTGATTAAAACAGGTACAAGGGGAGAAAAAAGTGGGGGGAACCCCAACACAAGTATAATCACCTTTGGAAAATTTCCAAAGTCTTAGTATGTCTTTGTGACACACATACACAGGTGAGAAGCATGAAAGGACCATCCCTAACTGCATAGCTGTTACCATGCTCCAAAAATAAACTCCTTTGCCACACTTGGACTCTGTTGTCAACTGTGCACCCATTTCTCTGGTCAGCTCCTCTCTCCTCCACTTTTTTTTTTTTAAAATTCAAATTGAACAGGATGGGTGAGAAGTCTTGGATGATGTCAGTTTTGGCAGTTGCCTTCCAGTGTTCTCCCTCCCTTGGGGGCAGATGTGAAGGGCCAGAGCCCACCTTTTCCCCAGAAGTAGCTAGAACCACACAAGCCTTCACCCCACGGCCACAGGCTGCTCACCAGTTTGCTGGATCCCGATCTCCATTCCAGATCCACGGCAGAGTCTCTGGTGCTTGGCTCTTCCTGCTAAGCCCAAAAGCAGAGGGAGGTTTCAGTGTCTCCCCACAGAGAGGCCCAGGCTGCACTTCCCCCCCAGAGGCTCCATCTGGAGGGAGATTTGAGGCCAAATCAGAATGTAAGTGTTGAGTAGGAAAAGCAAGAAAGCTGCTGCTTTTGGCATTGTTCTAAATGAAGTGAATCCCAGCTTTGGTTTGATGTGAAGTCAGATGGAGCGCAGTGAAACAGCTGTTGTCTGGCATGTGTGGTTTGGATGAGGTCACAGGGACTGGTGGCCTTCGGGAGAAAAGTCCCCTATGGGAGTGGAAGGAAGGACAGGAGATCTTAGGGAGGGGAAAGGACAATGAAGAACAAGGAAGACACCAGAAGAGGGCAGGGGATTTAGGGATTTGGAGAGCTTCATTGGCATCACAAATCCCACCACAAGGGGCTGCAAGGAGACAGCATCAGGTATGTAATTTGTGGGGTCTTGTGTACAATAAAAATATAGGGTCTCTTATTCTAAAGGACCGTGAATTTCAAAATGGTGACCAAACACAGAGATTCCTCTAAGTCCAGGGCCCTGTGTACAGCGCAGGGCACCCTCTATGAAACTCTAGAAAGAAGACAAGAATGAGGAGAACATTCTCACACCCAGAATCCAGAGTGAACTCACAGCAAAACAGTGCCCAACACACGTGTGCATGCATGTGTGAGTGCACACACACACACACACACACACACACACACACACACACACACCTTTTAGCCAAACAAACAAAAACCTCCGTGAACATCCAAAGCAGGTGCTACTCCAGGCTTATGCTTGAGGATCGGGGTGGTCTCGGGTGGCCCCAGCCCACTCCTGGTGTAAGATACTAGAGGGCAAAAGTCAAGGGACTTGAGCAAACACACAGGGAATCACCCACTTCCCAATGGGCAAGCAATACCCACACCTGGCAGTAACGCTGTATTAAGCAACGTTCTTTGGCAGCCTACAAAACCAAATGGCAGAAGGCCAGAGGTGGAGGCAGCATGTGAGGCTGCAAGCTCTGCCAGGTGTCTTTTGCCTGTTTCCTTTTGGATCTGCTTCTTTGATTTTTTTTTTTTTTTAGTTATTTCTTACTAAGCTTTTCTCTACACAGTGAGAATCATTCTGCAGGCAGGTTTGAGCACATGTCCTTTCAGATAAAGAATGAGGCAGCCTCGACAAAATCCTGGGGAAGAGTTCTGATTAGAGAATAGGATCCCAAAAAGGCAGTACAAGCAGTAGAGATAAATCCTGGTGCCACTGCCAGTGGCCCCTCAGTCTGCCCCAGCCATACAACTGTCACCCATATTCAGAGGGACCACTTTGGTCCTTTGCTTGTCCGTTCCCAGTCCAGCTGGAGTTGGTGAGCTCCCATTAGCTCAAGTAAACTGTCTCTCTTTGCTCACATTCTCACTCCTTCCACTCTTCAACTGCACCCTGGGAGCTCAGTCCAGTGCTCCGATGTGGGTCTCTGCCTCTGTTTCCATCAGTTGCTGGATGAAGGTTCTATGGCGACATTTAAGATAATTATCAGTCTGACTACAGGGCAAGGCCAGTTCCGGCACCCTCTCCTCTATTGCTTAGGGTTTTAGCTGGAGTCATCCTTGTGGATCAACTTAGTAAAACTGGCAATCCTACCAAAAGCAATCTATAGATTCAATGCAGTCCCCATCAAAATCCCAACACAATTCTTCATGGAGGGAGTTGCTTTCAAAATAATTCTTCATGATCTCTTCGTTGCAAATGCAGTGATGTTTGGTATTGTAGGACTCTGATACTGGCCACGCTCTGCCCAGGACCCTGGGAGCTTTTCCTTTGCTTGTTTACCAGAGTGATTTCAGAGCTTTGGTGCCAAGGGGTTCCGTGTTTCTCTCACTAGAGACCCAATTTCTGGGACTTGCCATCAACTTAGGGCGGGGCTCCTGTGACCCATTTAAGAGTCCCCCGAAGAGACCTCCAGAGCTGCTGTTCTCTGCGGCCTGTGCTCTGGCTTTTCCCCTCCTTTTAGGGCACTGCCCCTCTACTGCTGAGTGGCTGAGGGCGACCAGAATGCAGGGTTATTCCTTTTAATAGTTGTTATTTCTACTGATGGATTAGCTTCATCAGAGTGCCCGAGCACAGCCAAGGCTGATGGTGCCCCAGGGAAGCTGGGCTGGTTGATGTTGCAAAGGGGTTCATGGTGGGGTGAGGGAGCTCTGAGTAACTCCAGGGGTCATTCTTTTTTTTTTTTAAGATTTTTTTTATTTATTTATTTATTTATTTATTTATTTATTTATTTATTATGTATACAGTATTGTGCCTGCAAGTATGCCTGCAGGCCAGAAGAGGACACCAGATCTCATTATAGATGGTTGTGAGCCACCATGTGGGTGCTGGGAATTGAACTCAGGACCTCTGGAAGAGCAGCCAGTGCTCTTAACCTCTGACCCATCTCTCCAGCCCTCCAGGGGTCATTCTTTGGGCCTCAAAGGGACTGTGTGACTTAGTACATTCATGTCATGTTGGAGTGGAAGGCAACTCTGAGGTCCAATGGAGACTCCCATTTGGGAGACCCAAAGTAATTGCTCAAGTCACAGAGGGAGCTTGTGACCCCCAGAGCCTCTTTGTTTCTTGGGGGCTTTGTAAAGCAACACTCCACCCATTTTATCTATTTATCCAGGACATTTCTCATTTGCGACCTCAGCTGTGTGCCTGAGTGGAAAATCTTTTCTTCACAAAGCCTTCTAGGTGAAGGCAAAGCTAACGTGCACCACATGGCGCCCATCCTACCGCTTACCTGCTCTTCCCTGTCAACCATTTGCCATCAGTCACGGTCACTTGGGCGGCCTGCTGTGAGTTCCAGAGGAGGCGATGGATGCACAGACAAGTAGCTTGCCAAGTGTCAACTGTGATTTTATAAACGTTTTCTTCCTTTAAAAACAATTAAGTGAGCCAGACTCAGTGGCACACACCTTTAATCCCAGCACTTGGGAGGCAGAGGCAGGAGAATGCCTATCGGCAGATTTTTCTGCCCACCAGTCAGCTCCCCAATAACCACAGAGACTTATTATTAATTATAAAAGATGGGCCGATAGCTTAGGTTTGCTTGTAGCTAGCTCTTATAACTTAAATTAACCCCTGTCTTTTATTCTATGTTCTTTACATGGTTTGATTACCTTTACTCCAAACTTGATGCTTCCTCTTCCTCTGTCTGACAACTCTCCCTGTCTCTGCCTTTCTTCCCAGCATCCTCTCTGCCCCCCAAATCCTGCATAGCTATTGGCTGTTCACCTTTTTATTAAACTAGTCTGAGTGACAAATCTTCACAGTGTACGAAAAGGTTATTCCACAACAGATATCTGAATTTGAGGCCAGCCTGGTCTACATATTGAGTTCCAGGACAGCCAGAGCTACATAGTGAGACCCTTTTGTTTAGAAACAAACAAACAAACA